TCCTGAAACATTGAATGTCCCAGAATTCTGAGATCTCACAGCCCAGAGAAAGTAGCAGCAGTTCTATCCAGTTGCTCTGTGGGGTACATTATCCCAGGTGGTGGCATTTCCTTTCTCAGTTAGGGTAATGTAAGTATTATGCTGCCCCAAACTTGGCTTTTCTAAAGAAGAATGTAAGAACTAGGTAGAGGGCTTTCAATTCTGTGCCTAATAGGGCACTTGCTAACCTGGGCCCCAAGAGAGTTTTGCAATAACAGGATATAAAGTCTCAGATAAAATGAATTTGTTTGTAAATTACACCGGGACCATGATGGGACACTGCTTTTGGGGGACAAGCTTAATAATGGTAAAGAAAAAGGAAGGCTTCTAAGGCTTTAGTGGGAAAGAAGGTTTATGCATATTGATGTGAATGGGGGATGAGATTTGATACTCAATAGACAGAATCCAGAAGGATTTGAGATTTTGAAGGATTCAGAATTCAAGGATTCAAGGAGTGGAGCTCCTTTAATATATTTTAGGAATATGCATAGTGTTATGGCTTGTCAGTCTCTGACATACACTAGTGGTGTGAGTGGGATGCTATGTTTGGAGGAGGGGGTAAGGAGGAAGTAGGGTGATGTTGAGTCGTTTTAGTCATGCCTAACTCTTCATGAGCTCATTTGAGATTTTCTTGGCAAAGATACTGGAGTGGTTTGCCATTTCCTTCTCCAGCGCATTTTACAGAAGAGGAAACTAAGGCAAACAGCATTAAGTGATTTGCCCAGAGTCACACAGCTAGTAAATGTCTGAGGCCAGATTTGAACTCAGGAAGATGAGTCTTTCTGGCTCCAGGCAGGGCACTCTATCTGCTGTGCCACCTAGATACCCCAAGTAGGATGATAACTTCAATCAATTAGTAAATCAACTAGCAGTTTTAAAGCACTCACTATGTGCCTATTATGAACTTGGATAGTGGTCAGTACTGCATCAGACTTTTAATCAAAGAGGCTAGGTTTCAAGTCCCTATTTAAGGGCTCTCTTTAGAAATTGCTTGACCTGATGTGGATCAAGAGCTGGCCTCAGAGCAAAGAAGGCCTGGGTTCAAGCCCTGTGACACATACTGGCTGAATGACCTCAGGCAAAGTCACTTAACCACTCATCTCTAGGCAACTCTCTTTAGACTTAAGTTTCTGAGAAGGTGTCAGTCTGTATTAGTAGAAGGGGTTTCCTCCTTCAGGAGTTCCCTATAGCAATAATATCATGGGTCCAGTTCCCTTCCCTAATTCTGTGCACCAGGCACCATGAAGTGAACTTGGTGGTTATTAGGTAACTTCTTTTTTCTCTTTTGAAGCATAGGATCATAGATTTTAGGGTTGAATGGAATCTTAGAAATTATCTAGCCCAGTGGTTCTCAAACTTTTTGGTTTTAAGACCCCTTACACTGTTGAAAATTATTGAGGATTACAAAGAACTTTTGTTTATGTGAGTTATTTCTATCAATATTTACCATGTTAGACATTAAAAATGATGCAATTTTAATGTTTTATTAATTCATTTTAAAATAGCAATAATAAATCCATGATGTTAACATAAATAGCATATTGTTTTACAAAAAGTAATAATATTTTAGTGAGGAGAATGGCATTGTTTCATAAATTTTTGTGAATCTCTTTAATATCTGGTTTAATAGAAGACAGATTTTCATAATTGCTTTTGCATTCAACCTGCTGCATTACACTGTTTTGGTTAAAGTACACGAAGAAAATCCGGCCTTACACAGATAGGTAGTTGGAAAAGAGGATATTTTAATAGGCAAACAAAATCTTAGATTATTCTGAAAATAGTTTTTATCCTGGGGATCCCCAAGGATCTTTGGACCACACTTTGAGAATTGCTGATTTAGCCCAACTTTTTCATTTTATAGCTGGGAGAATTCAATTTAATTGTCCAAAGTAAAAAAAAATGCAGTAAGAAGCAGAATCAGCCTTGTAGCTGAGGGCAAATAACAAGGCCAGAGTTCCAGTCAGCTTTAAATCCCATGATCCTGTGATCTTGAGATTTCATGACAGGTGAGTGAAAAAAAAAAAAGAGGCTAGAAGATTGAGTATTCCCAATAGCTCGCAACATTGGCTTACTACTTTCTGTCTCCATCGCATAGTCTAGAGATGAGTAAGCAACAGGAATGGTTGAATTGGAAGAAGACTTGTAAGCTGTTCTTGGGTTGTCAGTCATTTCCAGGCATCTGGACTTAGAATCAACCTTCTCTTGGCTTCTCCTCCACCCCCGACACCCTTTTCCCCTCTCCCCATTAGCTAAGGTCAGGAAAGCCCAATAGACCTTGGTATAACTCACTGAACTGAAACTCACGTATGAGTCCTTCTCTCAAAGTCTTTAAGCAAAAACTTGGATTACTGTTGAGTGTTTTTGTAAAGGAGATTCTTGTAGGTATGCATTGGACGAGATGACCTTTGAGGTCCATTCTAACTCAGAGATTCAATAATTATGATTTTATATGACAGACATAAAACTCTTGAGGTATGTAACAATCAAATAGCAAAAGTCTTTCTAATGTGTAGGCAACAGTGCGTACATATTTTTAAGGGAAGAATTCACAGTAAGAGCCAATGAAGTGCCATAGAATGAATCCAATGGCAGAAATTGAGCTGGGGAGAGACAGTTTATATTTGTAAAATATCACTCCTATAAATATATAGATCACTCTTTTTGAGGAGGTTGAAAATGATTTCTGTAAAAGATTAGTCATGATGGCAAATTTCTACAGAATTTCTGAAAAGCTTCTAGGAAGTAACCAGAGACAAAAAGTTTGGAAGGCTGATCCAAGGGGGCAATTGGTTATTAGCCCCATGAGTCACACTCTTTGCAGTTTTCCAGAGGTGAGAATGTAGAGGTCCCATCAGAGTTAAGTATCACTTATGAATGTATTTAAAACCTTGATTCTGTTTGTTTTTAGCTTGTATAATCCCAGAGTGGTGAGTTCCCCGAATTTACTATCAAAATAGTAATTCTTTGTTTCTTAATTCACAACTATTTCTTTCAAGCATTAAACAGTGTTCCTAAATTCTAACATCCTAGGATTTGGTAAATAAATTCATCTTTACTCTGTTGATGTGATTCATCATTTGGAGACTGATTTCATTCTCTCTCAGTCTTTTTCTTTTAAGCCCTGTAACAAATAGCCCCAAGAAAAGGTTCCCCAATCCCACTAGTCAGTTTCCCATTTATACAAACCAGGTTCAATCTTCTCATGTTCTTGGCACCATCATTTCCCCCTTTAACTCTCCAGTAGTATTCCCCTCATACAGTGTTTTCTGTGTTATATAGCATAGGTACAGGGGTGAAAAGACAAAAGCTACCTGGCTATAGTGGTGGAAGATCTCAAGGTAGAATATCTATATAAAAGTAATTTTACGTACAACCATGTTACTCACAAGTTAATAGAAAAATTATACTCTTAACAGCCCTTCCTGTTTTTCCTAGTTCACTCTTACTTTTATACTCAGTCTGAACTAAAACTTTTTTTTTTTTAGAACTCTTCTTAATACAAAGGAAGCCAGGTTCTTTTTCTATTGGTTCTCAGTCCTTGTTTCCTTGTGCCTTGGTCAAACCTGTTATCAAATCCCAAACTTTTTTTCTTTCTCATTCATAGACCATCCTTGTTTTAGGCTTTCTTAGCATGTAGCTCAAGACAAATGTTCAAGAAAGGTGCCTTTACTCTCCTTTAATCCTTCCTCATCCTCCTATTTTCCCTTGCCCTAAAATCTATTTTTTTTTTGCTTCTTTCCCTTCCCCTCCCTCCAACCATATCTGAAAACCTAGTTGTGCATATTTTAATTACTCTGCTCCCAGATAGGCAAGGGTTACCTTATAATATCAGAAAAGGGCTTAGAAATCCATCATCCTTTTGTTCCTTGTGGATAATGAGTGTCTACAAGGAACACTTTAATTGCAGGAAAATATAATGGTCCCAACTCTACCCAATATTTCACTTTTCATGCTACCGTATCCCAGGCAGTGAGTTAGGAAGACCAGTGGTTTTAGTACAGAAAGTGCCATTTGACAAACTCAACTTCAGGCAGAGGTTCTCTAAGATGCTGGGGAGAATATGAGACCATGAATCATTAAGTAACAGCATCTCTAACATATGGAGCCCACGCAATAGGAAGAGTAGATACCAACGATAAAGCCATCTCAGAGAAAAGAGGGGAAGTGTTTAACTTGCTTAAGGAGTTTTGTTTTAGCAGTTCGCTAGATCTTTTTCTGGGTGTTATCCATAAGGTTTAGGTTTCTGGATATAATCAAAGAGCTGAAAAATAACAGAGATCCAAATATCCCTGCAAAATATGAGGGGGTTACCTAAGACAGAAAGGAAATGATCTCCTTTCCTCTAAGTTTTTAGTATTCAGTTTTCAGGCTTAAGATGGTAATTAGGCATGCCCATTGTTTAAACCTTGTCTTGTAATTTCATAGAAATAGAAAATTTCAGAGGTGAATATTGAACTTCAGAGTTAGTCCAACACACTTTTTTTAGGCAAATGAGGCCCAAAGAGGTGAGGTGACTTATTCAAGATCACACAATTAATTAGTGGTAGATGTGGAATTTAAATCTGGGTCACCTAAGACTTATCCCAGTGTTCTTTCCATTGCAACATGATTCCTCTATCATATTCAGATTTCCTAATTTCAAGGTAGGAGATACTAGATGATTTTTAAAAGTAGATGTCTGAGGATATTTGCCAAAAGTTGTTAAAGAAGATTCAGAGGTTCTATTTTCAACATTTTTCTTCTGTCTGGTCACACACCATGATCATATCTCTAGCTTAGACCCTAAATTCTAGTATTATTTCTTAACTTGCTGGTATGTCCTAGAGTTGTGATACCCAGAGTATTAGCCTCTTCCCATAAGTTTCCTTTTCTTTCCTAGTTACCTAGTGACCAGTTGTCAACTTCATCTATTCAGATCCGTCTCATAGAATTCTTTCCTATTGTTTCCTCAGGGGAAAAGATTCAGGATGACGTTGCCCATGAAGAATCAGACCACCACAGTGACCGAGTTCATTCTGCTTGGTTTTCCCATCAGCAGAGAGGTGGAGCTACTGTTCTTTATGCTCCTTCTGCCCACATATCTCTTGACACTTCTGGGGAACATCCTTATCACCTGCGTTGTTGTGTCCTACTCACGCCTCTACACACCCGTGTACTTCTTCCTCTGCAATCTCTCCATCTTGGACATCCTCTTCACCTCTGTCATTTCCCCAAGGGTTCTGGCCAATTTGGCCATTGGGGATAAGACCATCTCCTTTGCTGGGTGTATCACCCAGTGCTATTTCTACTTCTTCCTGGGGACAGTGGAATTTCTTCTATTGACATGCATGTCCTATGATAGGTATGCTGCCATTTGTAACCCACTAAGGTATAGCACGATTATGAGTCCATCTGTGTGCATTGGACTGGTTCTTTTCTCCTGGGTGGGTGGTTTCTTGTCTGTTCTTTTTCCCACCATACTTATCTCTAGGTTACCCTTCTGTGGCTCCAATATCATAAACCACTTTTTCTGTGACAGTAGGCCCCTATTGGCCCTGGCCTGTACAGACACGACATCTATTGAGCTGATGGATTTTCTGCTGTCGTCCACCGTCATCCTCATCTCCTTAATTCTTATTGGGTACTCTTATACCCACATCATCATGACCATCTTACGCATCCCATCAGCCAGTGGGAGGAAGAAGGCCTTTAACACATGTGCTTCTCACCTGACCGTTGTTGGGATTGCTGGTGGGATCACAGTCTTTATATATGTGACTCCCTCCCAGAAAGAAACCTTGGAGATCAACAAAATACCCTCGGTGTTGAGCAGTGTGGTGGCACCTTTCCTCAACCCCTTCATCTACACCCTGCGCAATGACACAGTGCTGGGGATCCTCAGGGAGGTGGGGGTGGGAGTCAGAGCTTTATCAGTCAAGAGGAGTAGTAGAACACTCCTAAGAATGCCGTCCCACAAAGGTCACTGACAAAGGGAGTTGTGGCCTCTTTAATAAAGATAGTTTTCTAATCCCATGAAAATTAACATAAGGCACCTAGAGATCCAGGACCTGCTTTTGGCAGGAGCAGGTGCTAAGTGTTCACCGCTGGATGGCCTTGTGAAGGCATTTGGAGGGCTGTGTGATCTGTGTCCCACTCTGACCTGCTCCTCTCTCGGAGACTATGCTTACGCTGGCTCTCCAGTCAGGGAATGTTTTTTAAAAAATGTACCATCCTAAAAACAAAACAAAACAAACAAAAAAAGACACAACAAAAAGCAACAACAACAAAAAAAAAGGAGGCAGCTAGGTGGCATAGTGGATAGAGATTCGGCCTTGGAGTCAGGAGGACCTGAGTTCAAATGTGACCTCAGACAGTTGACACTTACTAGCTGCGTGACCCTGGGCATGTCACTTAACCCCAATTGTCTCACCAAAAAAAGAAAAAAAAAAGCACCATCCTTCTTATTGAACAAAATTAAATTTTTTTTAACATTTTGAAGGTTTTTTTTTTCCAAATGCCAGTCATAGGACTTGTGGATCTCAAAGTGGAAGGGACTCTAGAAGCCATCTAATCCAACCCCTTTCCTTTTTAAGCCAAGGAAAATGAGGCCCATAGAGCTTAAGTGACTTGACAAAGGTCACACGGAGAGTTGTGTCAGAGGTGAGATTTGAATCCAGATCCTCTTTCTCTAGAGCTAGTCCTATTTTTGCTGTAACACAACATCCCATTCACTTTCCAATAACTCCTCCTCTCCACTGAGCCCTTTGTAACAAAGAAAAACAAGCAAAAAATAGACATCTAGACCTTATTTTCAACAGCTTTGTTTCTTGAGCTCACCATACGTCTGACAGAGCTGATCGCTTTGTCTAATGTGACACAGTAGAACTGTGGTCTTTGTGTCAGAAGTCCTGAGGATGAGCTCAGGCTCTGAAACTTATAAACTTCTCTTTGAGTCTCAGCCTTCTCATCTCTTCACTGGGGATGATGACACATTAATTATCCCACTGGGTTTTTTGAGGGCAGCACTTTCCAAGACATAAAACATCACATCAATCAGCAAGCATTTATTTAGCTGCTACTATGTTCCAGACACTGTACTAGACACTAGGGATATGAATAAAATGAATGAGGGAAAATCCCTACTGGCAACGCACTTATAAGTCTTCTAAATATGAGCTACTATTACCTCTACCTATTATTAGAACCCACCAGCTCAACCCATGCATGGTACAGTTTTCTATTGGCAAGCATACATTTTTAAAAAATCATTTCATGCTCTTTTCTCATACTTCCCCTAAGTAAATTGCAAGCTTCTTAAGAACTGGGAACATGCTTTAGAGTTGATCTACTCTGTTCCATAATATGGAATCCTCTTTTATTATTTCTTCAAGGAGAGAGATTCTGATCTGTCTCCAAAGAATTTTGTTCACTGCAAATGTACCCCATGAGCTTCCCACAAATCCTTAATAACTAACCCCCCTTAGATGTTTCCATACCCACATGTATTGTTAAATTTCCACATTTCCCAGGGAGATATGGCTGGAACAAGCTGCTTGCCTGGCAGAACTCCCAGCCTTGGCCAAGCTCAATCTTACTGTTTCTTGTCTCTGATTGTTTAGCATTGGATCCCACTATTCTGCATTCCTCCTCTCTCTCTCTCTCTCTCTCTCTGTCTCTGTCTCTCTCTCTCCCTTCTCTCCTAGGCTACCCTGTCCAAAGAGCACTCTTCTTGGAAGAATCACAGAATCTAAGAGAAAACAAGAGTAAAATAAAAGTTGAATATTCAACCTTTTCACTTTCACTGCTAAGATCATCCCATAGACCCTGAGCATGGTCCTATCCTTTTTTCATTTTCTTTTTATCTCCAATATAGGTTTGTTTGTTTTTGCCTTTAGCATTTATCACCAGCATTAGTTCATTCTGGGATTTAGGGTTCCTGACATTCTTACAGGACAGTGCTGCTTGCTCTTCCATCTTCCATTCCGTTTTTTTTTTATCTGTACATGTCCTATCAAATATCCACATTGTCCAAATGCTGTTGAAAGCAATTTACCCCCTTTGCGGAATATCTACTATGGCACAGCGCTGTCCTATCACGTCCTTGTTCTTTGATTGTTCAGCTATGCACTGCACTTTTGTCTTTTCCCTCACTCCACGACTCTCCCTTTTTTTGATCTGTACTGTCTTGGATCATGCCCTTGGGAACTCCTCTTTGCATTATGGCTCTCCAGTATATGTCTGACTGCTTAACCTGGACACAAGATGCACTTAGCCTAGATGACTGCTTCCCTCTACCAGGTCACAAATAGCTGTCACCTCACCTAGGCTTTACCCCAATCTCTGAGGCAACAGAGAGGCCTTGCAAACAGAAGCACATTACAGCTACTCAGTCTCACTTGTTTTGGGCTCCTACCAAGTGGCAGCTTCTTCTAATCGCTCCACTGCTGCCATATGCAAACTCATTTGGCAAATTTCCACCATTACAAGAGGAGAAAGGGGCAACACAAACAGGTTTGCTTGATGACCGAGGACAGCTGGTGCTCTCTTCCAGACCGAATGTGTTAAACAGGCTTTAGAGATGCTGCCCAGCTTCCTGGCCCAAGTTACACAAAAGTGGGCTTCCTGACTATTCATTAAGTGGACTGGCCACCCATTGGACAACATTCTATGTATTTGAGAATAAGTATTGTGGAATGACTACTCAGTTGCTATGAAAAATCCATCACTGAACTCCAACTGGTGTTTGAGGACTTACGGATTTTCAAATGAAAGGTTATAAATGGATTTATGAATTCTATACAGGTCCTATTTGAGTTCCTTATAATAACTGACCCAGGATGCAGATTGGCATGAGGCTACCTACCATGGTGAACCCATCCCAGGAAGGCCCCATTGATCCCATCTGGAATGACCTTATCAAGAGATGTCCCTCATCTTGCCTATCCTAATCTTTTAGAGCCTCTGATTTAAAGGATTAGTGAGTTTTGTATTTAAAAAAATTAAATAGATTTTTATTGCTGCCTTGATGTCTTTTGTTTTTATTTCACCTTCCCTTCTTCCCCCCCACTCCGCTCCCCATCAAGTATCCTTTTGTTATGGTCCAGGACACTGGTGGAATAGGAGAAGCTTAAATTAATCCCCATATCACCAACCCTGGTTGTGGAGAAGACCTGGCATAGCTGAATTTTGCCCCAAGGTGGATTGATTTGGGACATAGCTGTGGGCTCTTTAGGTAGGGAGTATATAAATATATACGTATTTGTAAATATATAAAAAGTTTTAGGATTTTGGGCAGAGGTTCTGATATCTCAGGGAACTTCTTTGCTGACTGCTTTTAATTTCTTGCCCCTGGCTTTTACTTTCCTGGACTGTTTTTTACTCTCTTATGGATTGCCTTTTACCTGGGCATGTTTTTATTAAAGGCATTGTTTTTCTGAACCCTTGGGACCTGAGTGATTTATTGTACCAGATGTGAACCATCCCCAAAATATCCCCCATTCTCTACCAGAAAGCAATGCTTTGTAAGATTTTTTTCCTAAAAGAGGAAGAGGAAAAGATCAGCAAAACCATTCAACAACAATAACAAAATCTAATATTCAATGTTCCACTCCTGTGGACCCCCAGCTTCTGCAAAGGAGAAGGGGAAGGGAAAAGTGTCATCTCATATCTCTTCTTTGAGGCCAAGCTTGCTCTTCATAATTTTGAAACTTTCAGTTTTGATTATCTTAAGGTTACTGTTCTTTCCATTTCCATTGTTGTATTCATTGTGTATATTGTTTCCCTGGCTCTGCTTAATGTACCTTGTGTCAGTTCACATGCCTTTCCATGTTTCTCTATATTCATTAAGCCTTGTTTTTATAACATAGCAATATTCTACTATATTCATGTGCCACAATTGTTTAACTATTCCCTATTCAATGAGAATCCTTTTGTTTAAAGTTCTTTGCAACCACAAAAAAATGCTACCATAAATTTTTAAATGTATATAGAGGCTTTCTTTTGTCATTGACTTCCTTGGGATACACACAAGGATGAAGTTCTGGTAAATGTTTAACAACCAACTCTCCAGGAAAAAAAAATGTATGCATAACACTTTTAAGTTTAATCTGCATTATTAACATTTCCTCCATCACTTTCTTAAGTCTATACAATCAATAAAACAAAAAATCAAAACTTGATTAGTAGCATCTGCCAATTTCCAAAGGGTAAACGCTTACAGTGAAAATCTAACAATTGGTTTTTGCAAGCTGGTGTGAGTTAGCTTCAGAACACCCCTGGTATATGCTTAGCATACATGTAGGGAATAGTTATTTTAAAGGGATAGATATTTTCAAAGGGAATAGATACTTCAATAATTTTATTTTCATAATTCCAAATTACTTTTCAGTATGGTTGTACCAATTCACAGCTTCACCAACAATGTATTAGTATGCTTGTCTTCTTGTAACACCTCCAGTATTGACCATTCCCATCTTTGCCAATTGCTGAGCATAAGATGAAACTACAGGTTTGTTTGGATATGTATGTGTCTTAATAGCAATGTGGAGCACTCTTTCATATGGTTGTTAATAGTTTGCAGTTCTTCTTTTGATAACTGTCCTTTGACCACTTGTACTCTGGGGAATGACTTTTGGTCATATATATTTCTGCTAGTTGTCTGTAAATCTTAGACATCAAGATCTTATCAGAGTTATTTGATATATATATTCTCACTGTATAGTGAGCCCACAGCTATGTCCCAAATCAATCCACCTTGGGGCAAAATTCAGCTATATATTCAGCACATATATATGCTTCCCTTATCCTAGATGTATTTAATTTTGTATAAAAACTTTCCAAATGTATATAATCAAGATTCTCTATCTTAACTTTGATAATTATCTCTATCCCTTGCTTGGTTACAAATTCACTCCTTACCCATAGTTATGAATGGTATATAATCTGCTTCTCTTTTAATTTTTTTATATGAGGTTTAATATCTAGGTCC